CGGTATGTTGTCAGTATGCCGGCCGCCTAGTAAAAAAATATCAACAATACTACTCATATAAAAAATATTAAAATAATATCACAATTTATTAATTTACATTATCTAAAATACCTATCAAATTTAAAAATATATAATTTTATACTATATAACTTAAATTTTTTAAATATAATTAATAAAATTTAAAATAAATTATAAAGGTTCTATAAAAAATACAATTACATTAAAATGTACTTTTGAATAATTTTTATAATTTAAATATTCAACTTTATTATATTCAAATAATTTTATTTTTTATAAATATGTATCCAAATAAAAAATTAAACGACTTTTGTATTTTTTACTTCTATTTATATTTTTAAAATTTAATTCAAACGAGCCTAATAATTCTAAATAAAATAATAATTCTAATTCATAATTTTCAGACACCAAAACACAGTCAAATAAACATTGCAATAATAATAATAATAATAGAATAGAATAAAAGATAAACTTGGTTCCATACGATTTAGTAATTTAATATATAGAGGTGATGTCATGAATGACTTCATACTAATCTGACTTTACATTTAGTATGTATTTGTTTGGGGGATTGGATTTCCAATCCATTATTTATTTATTTATTTTTTTTCTCAAAAATATCAAATTAAACACCTATTTTTTATACTATTTTAAAATTTAATTTAGATTCAAAATATCACATCAACACCTATTTATATCACATTATACAACTATTCAAATTCAAAATTTTTAATATTCAAATCTCAACTCAAAATCCAAACTCTCAAACAAAACACACCCTTAGCCTCTGAGTTAAAAATAAATAAATAGGTTAACTTATGCAAACACAACACGTGAAAAATTTGTAGTCATTGTTTAAAATAATATTTGATGCACATTGTTTCTTATTATTTTATTTTATTTTTTATTTTTGCATATGAATAGATATATATATATATATCTTTTGAAAAATACATAATCAAAATAATAATATTCGAAGATAAAACTCAAATTTAAAATATTTTATTAAAAATAAGTTTAAATACTTAAAAATAAAGAGGTTTATTTAATAAAAAAATAAATCAAATTTTATTATTCAATTTGCATATATTTTTAATAAAAATATACTGTGTTTGTCAATCACAAATGTATCTATTTGCTCTTTATACGTTGATTTTAATATATTAGTATTATATTGATAAATAGTACAATTGACATGTATAAAGATTATTATACTCTTAACATTAATGCTAATATTTGATAATATTTGCGTAATAATATATGAATGATCAATGTATTTTTATATTTGAATGAAAATAAAATTACTAAAAAAAAAAAAATATATGGGTGATCATAGGAGGAAAGGGAGTACAATTTTTCCAAAGATATTAAATTAAAATTTAAAATAAAAAGTCAAACCAAAAAAAAAAAAACCTATAAATTTCAAAAGAAAATTTAAATGATAATAATAATAATAATATTTTATTCAACAACAGGATAATAATAATAATAATAATAATACTAGTAAACCAATAATAGTAACACTGAGGGTATATTTCTCCAGCTAAGTTATGTTGTGTCTGTCTCTTTCTCTTTTTTTTTTTTTCTTTTCTTTTTTTAAGTTTTTTTTTTTAAATTGTAAATATAAAAAAAATTATAATAATTACTCCCTCTGTCCTACGTATCGTGTCTCCTACACTGTAGACACAGTATTTTAGAAATGGTGTAATTAGTAGATAATTAAGAATATATTAGTGAAAATAATTATTTTATAATATAAATAATTATAAATTAAGATTAAAATAACTAATTATTTTACTTAAAATTAAAAAAAAATTAAAAAATTTAAAATGAGATTAAAATATGTAATTATTTTCTAAAAAAGGAAAGTGACATGGTATGTGGGACGGACATAAACGGCACCGTGGACATGGTATCTGAGACGAAAGGAGTATAATTTAATAAAATATATACAATATTTATGTCATTTTGTAGAATAAATTTTTTTATAATACAAATAAATAAAAATTTAGAAATATATATGTAGATATAATATAAATTTATAGTTAAACTATACAAATTAATACACGTTGTATTATTATATTCATAACTATCAAATCAATACATATAAAAACTCCTCAAACCCTAACCAAATATAAACACAAAAGAAATATTAAAATTCAAACCCATTTCAAAGTTCAACAAAATACCAAATTCAAACCCAAATTTTTCAAATCTTTGTGAAGAAATATACCCTAAGAAATGAGGGGACTTGTGATCCTGTCATTATATACTTACATATATACTCACCCGTCCCGTAAAATTAGTCGGGTTTTTTTTTTTTTTGTGCAAAGTTTAAAAAAAAATTAATTTATATAATTAATTAGTATGATTAGTTAATATAATATATGTAATAAAATATTATTTTTGACTATTTTTATTTTATGAAATATTGAAATAAATGTTAAAATATTTTTTATTTTATTTTATTTATTTTATTTAAATTTAATGTTTTGCTAATAATATTATTATATCGATTGTAAATTATTCAATTAGATAAAAAATAGTTTAATTGTAATAATTTAAATATAAAAATAACAGTCATAATACTAAAATTTTTAATATCAACAAAACATCAAATTTTTTGAATTTGATTGTTGGTAGAGATTTTTCGATATTACATACCAAAATTTATAACGCTTATTTTATACTATAGTACTAAAATTTTTAGTATGCTAATTTAATCGTAATGAAATATTGTATCAATAATTTGGTATATCGAATTTATAGATGAAAAAATACTGAATTACAGAAATAACACATACCGTACTAAAAAATACCGAAAATGCCAAATTTCAGTATACCAAACTTTTTTTTTGTATGGTATCGATATATTTTTTAATATACCAAAAAATTCGATGTAGTATACAATATAATTTGATATTATCTTAATACAGTATCAAGTCATTTCTAATCGAATTACATGTATAGTATCAGAATATAATATTTTACGCTGAAATATAAAAATTTAAAATAATTTTACAATTTTAAGAATATATTAGAAAATTAATTATTTTAGTATCAATATTCTAAATTATTGATATAGACCGATATATCAAATACTAAAATATCAAATTGTATTGATATTTTCGGTATATATAATACCAACAATGCTAAAAGTATATGCAATTGCCGTACTGAAAATGTTCGGTATGGTATCATACCATATAAAATTTACGATATACAATAATTTTGATATTTAGTATTTTTTCACACGGTACCTGCATTATTTGAGCAAATTGATATTTTTCACTATTATAGTAATAAATAATTTTTTTTAATGAAATATAAAAATCAAATTCTAAATCAAATCTCGTTTGACCTGTGATCCCCTCCGGTCATGAGCAAAAAAGGGGACTTGAATGTTGTTAAGGAAATTCCCAGGAAATTAAGATGAGATAACAAAGACAAAAGAACACAAGAATTTGGTAACCTAGTTCGATCACAATGATCTACGTCTGGGGGTGCTGCCAAGCCAGAAATTTTACTATAAAGTACGCAGACACTTGTTAAAGTGAGAATACATGGATATTTATAGCCTAAGCCTTTGACAATAATATTCAAATCATATCTCTAAAATCTAAAATATAATATCCAAATCATATCCCTAGATAGGATATAATTAGGCTTCATATCCCAACAATCTCCCACTTGAAGACTGATTTCATCTTCCACTTCAACATACCTCATCCAATCTCCACTCCCCACCATTCGGTGTTCTGATCCGAACCATTTTTTTACCTACAATTTTCAGTGTCTCATCATCTGCAACATAGACAACACCAAAATTACCTGTGGTATAGGATTCCATGATTCCCGAATCACTGCATAAGTGGAATGACGCTCTTGAGATCAAAATCCATGACTCCATTGTATTGTTGACGCTCAGAATCAGCGCATCGGATATCTCCTCCGTTCCGTTTGTTGAACCTTGATCCTTCTCCGGCGCCCTGCACTGTCGTTTGAAGTGCTCCTTGAAGTTCCAATATACCACCTACCACCTGACTTGCATCTTCCTTGTCCGTGTTCTCCGGCTTTAACTTTGACCATTTTTTATCTTCACCATTTCCCTTTGCTTCATATGTAAATTCAGTCGAGACATTCTCCCAAAGGGTTAGTCGAACCGCACTCATCGTTTTCCGGTCGATCTTCTTGTATTCAGCTTCATCCATGTCTTCGGATTTCTCCTTCAATACCGCATCTAGATCTTTACCATGTAATCTTCTATCTGCATACTTCAGAAACCAATGTTCATACCATCGAATACCTTGACAACATGACGATCACCCATCTTGACTCCCACAAACAAACCCAAGGCTCACTTGATATGAGAGCACATCTCTAATATCTTCTCCGCTGCGTTTGCCGAAACCCTTATCCTTCCTTGTCTACCTTGCACCGCCTATCACAAAGGGACCCGCTACCTGACCTACCAGTCGGGACCGACCCAACACCGCCAGGAGACTTTCGACACAAGACACTTCTGCAAGTCACAAGGGATTCCCACAGCCACAATCAATATCCGATGCCTCCCAATCCACCTTACCAACGAACCAGGCTCTGATACCACTTGTTACGAAAATTTCCAAGAAATTAAGATGAGATAACAAAGACAAAAGAACACAAGAATTTGATAACCCGATTCGATCACAATGATCTACGTCTGGGGACGCTGCTAAGTCAAAAATTTTACTATAAAGGACGCAAGACACTTGTTAAAGTGAAAATACATGGATATTTATAGCCTAAGCCTTTGACAATAATATTCAAATCATATCTCTAAAATCTAAAATATAATATCCAAATCATATCCCTAGATTTTAGGATATAATCAGCCTTCATATCCGAACAAACAAATGTGTTACTATATTAGGTAGAATTTATAAAAAACCAAAACAAACAAACCCTAAAGTCATAATCAATAATAAATATAGATGGTACCCTTTCATTCATTAACTTATTCATCATAGCAGACAAGACAACACAGCGAAGCACTGTCGCCATGGAAGCTCAGACTCAGATCCCCGACGACAGGATCGAAGTTCTCCGGCAATTCGACGAAACCAAAGCCGGCGTCAAAGGCCTGTCCGATTCCGGCATCCTCAAACTTCCCCGGATCTTCGTCAGGCCGCCGGAGGACCTCTCTAAAGACCTCTCCTGCAACATTAATAATACCCCCATCCAGGTCCCCGTCATCGACATGGCCGATTTCCAGGCCGACACGTGGCGGCGCCGGCGAATAGTCGAGCAGGTGAGGGCTGCGTCGGAAACGTGGGGATTCTTCCAGGTGGTGAATCACGGAATTCCTCAGAGCGTGCTGGATGACGTCATCAATGGCGTCCGTGAGTTCCACGAGCAGGACTTGGAGAAGAAGAAGTTGTTTTACACGCGCGATACGAGTAAGGCATTGAGATTATGCTGTAACCATGATCTGTTTAAGGCGGCGACTGCCGGGTGGAGAGATACACTGAGTGTATCTTTTCCGGCCTTCGATCCCGACCTCCACCGCCATGAATTGCCTCCTTCCTTCAGGTTTCATCGTCTTCAGTTTCTTCTATTTCTGCAATCTTACCAAAAGTAATGGAAAGATAAATCTGTTCTTCTCTCTTTGATTTCTTTTTTTTTTTTTTTTAAATATCTTTACCATACAAGTAGAGCTAGAAATGATCCGACCCGACCCTAGTCAAATTTTAAGTGTTCGTTAACGTTTGCGAACAAGGCTCGTATTCGTTCGTTAAGCTTTCGAACTCGGCTCTCGTTAAGAATTTTTTTGTTGTTTGAGCTCGCGTTGGTGATCGGTTTGTTTAGGCTCGATTAAGCTCGTTCCAGTTAGTTTGAGCTCGTTTTTCTTATTTTTTTAAATTTATATATAAATTATAAAGAAAATTTAAAATTATTTTATTTATATATTTAAAATTAATATTTTATTTATTTATAAATTATAACTTTATATACATATATAATATTTATAATAAATATATTATTTAAACGAACGGTTCGTGAACAAAGCTTGGGCTTATTCGTTAATCAAACGAGCTTGTTTATATTGTTCGGCTCGGCTCATTAACGTTTACGAATGAGCTTTAACCAAGTTGAATCGAATTAAATCGAGCCGAGTTCACGAACGGCTCGGTTCGTTTAACAGCTCTACATACAAGTTCTAATAAAAAAATAAATGTTTTCTGGCAATATATATATATATATACACCCGGAATCAAATAATTATTTCAATTATTTTACTTCTAAAGCTTATGTACATCTTCAATGAATATTGTGATGTATTGGAGAATTTCGGAAATTTCAATTATTTTATTATTATTATTATTTTTATAACGTGGAAATCTACCGTTGTTGTTCGACGAGTGTGTTATGGATAAATTCCCAATTAAATTTAATAGCCTACAAATTAGGCTTAACAATGCAAGTCATACTAAACGAACTATGTGTGACGGACATGACCCTGAGGCGTCGTTCAATTATCTTTTATTTTACATTTATGGCTCATAATTTTAATGTAATATTACTTTTTTAGAACTTGTATTATAAATTATACTATATATTTGTAAAGCTTTATTTTTTAAAGGTATTTTGCATGATTGGTACTTGATAAAAAAAAATTTAATTTTCTAACTATGATATGCATTTTTGAACTCTATGTTATTTTACTTGACAGCAAATCAATCGTGGAATACTCTAAACATGTCGAAACTCTTGGAAATATCCTATTTGGATTATTGTCGGAGGCTCTTGGGCTCGAAACAGGATACCTAGAAAAAATGGAATGCTCTAAAGGGCATCGCCTCCATGGCCACTACTATCCAGCATGCCCCGAGCCTCACCTAGCGATCGGGACAACCCAACATTCGGACGCCGGATTCCTCACAATCCTCTTACAAAACCAAATCACTAGTGCCCTCCAGGTTTTGTACAAAGGCCAATGGATCGACATTCAGCCCACTCCCGGCGGCCTAGTCATAAACATTGGCGATCTCCTTCAGGTAAAATATATAAATCAAAGAATATTCAAAATAGTAGTATAATTTTGGCTTGTATTAATTGTTTTCTTACTCGCTTTAAATTCTTCAGTTGGTATCCAACGGAAAATTTAAGAGCAACCAACATAGGGCGATTGCGAAAGGCATCGGGCCAAGAATTTCGATTGCGTGTTTCTTCTCTGGGCCATTGATGAATGTTGAGAAGATTTACGGACCGATTGAAGAGCTAATAAGTGATGAGAATCCAGCAGTGTATAAAGAGTTGGTTTTGGGTGAATATGTTAAGAGATTCATCACCACTAGTTTAGAAACTTTTCGTGCTCTTGATTGTTATAAATTGTAATAAATGTATGATCTTAAGCACCAATGTATTGTAATTCATGTATGTAATGCATTTATGTAAAAAAAATAAAAGCGACAATAAAAAATCCCATTGATTGTTGTTAGAAATATTTGGGGAAAATAATGAGATTGTCTTAATCATCAAAATAAGGAGTCTATGTATATAGACATTCGATAAACTCAAATCTTAGTAATCTAATTTATGGATAAGACAAAATTTAAATATAAATTTACTAAAAATCTAAAATTGAATATATAAAATATCTCAAGAATTTACTTTTATTTGCTCACGTGGAAATGATTGTCCTATAGAAAGTTGAATTTGTTCATCTATATACCCTGCATATTGCAGTTGAAAAATTGGCTCATGGTTTATTTATTTGATTTTAATATTTTTTTATCTATTTAAAATTAATAATTGATTGATATGATGTTATATATTCCATTTGTCACGAAACAGTTGACGCGTTTGATGAGTGATACATGTTCAAGGTAATAAAATTTAGTAAGTTAATGATAATATGCTATGATATTATCTTATTATTTATATTTGGGTGATGCTGTTGATATTTCTAAAATAAAGATTGATATATAAGATTAAAAAAATTAAAAGTTTAAATGTTTTAAACACTATATCTTAATAAAATATATATAATATTAATATTATTTTGTAGAGAAAAGTTTTATATATAATACAAATAAATAAAAATATATATTTATTTATTTATAATTAATATGAACTAATATTATAAAAAAAATAGAGAGTTTTAAATATAGATGATTTTTTTTTATTTGTCATGTAAAATATGGTCCGGTGGTGTGGAATAAACTTCTGACCGTAAGATCATGGATTTAAAATAGATTATTTTTACTATAATAATAAAATAATTATTTTTAAAAAAAATTCTCAATATTTTAAACCTAACAAATCGAATAATATTAGTTTTCAAGATATTTGTCTATAAATAAAATCAATAAATTGTATTCTAGCTCCAACGAATGACAATATTTTGATATATTATATATAGCATATTGCAATATTACATACAATATTTTGTATACTTATTAACATCATATTTTTCTTGAACATGTATTATATTTAACATAATGAAACATATCACAATGCCAAATAATGCATCAAATCAGTTTTCATAGAAAGTCAATTAGTTATGTTATTTTTATTTTATATGAGAAGCATATAAATTACAAATAAACATCCTACTAGAAAAAATATTATGTAAAAGATAAATCACAAAACTTTGATGATTTCACACGGATCTTTAAATATATATATATACGAAAGAAGAAATCATGAGTTGTATAAAACATATTCGATCATTTTTGCATGAGTCATACAAGATATCCAAATAAGATATGTATCATAGACCGCTATCACGACCGTATATGCTGCATAATACGTCTATTATGAATTAAGAATTATTTTATTCAAAATCCATTTATAAATAGAAAACAAGACGCAATACACAATGAATAACTATTGTAATAGTCAAATTATTTCATCATCTTAGCCTTGTTGAATTAAAATATCCATCTAAAGAATGTTGCGCATATTGTTGACTAGTACAACAACGAAACTATTATATTTTCAAAAAAAAAAAGGTGTTCCAATCATCATATCCGCACAGGACATTAGCATATCTATTTAAAGTATATAGCATATAATACTAATTAGTACATCACAGAAACATTATATTTTGCAAAAAAAAAAAAAAGAAAAGAAAAGAAAATGTTCCAATCATCATATTCACGTAAGATAATTAGCATATCTATCTAAAAAATGTGGCATATATTATTGATTAGTACGAAAACAAAACTATTATATTTTTTTTAAGAAAAATCTTCCAACCATCATTTTCGCTTGAGACAATTAGTATATTTATCTAAAGTGTGTATCATATTTTGCTAAGCGGAACAACAACATACTTATAATATTTTTGGAATTAAATTGTTCGAATAATATTTAACCAAGATGTAAACAAAAACGACAATCTATTCTTAAAAGACATTTACGACATACAATTCCTTCGTATCACATTTCAAAAATGTTATGAAAAATTCAGACAATGTTGCGTGCACTAACTAACATATTAGTAATTCATGAATTACACATACATCTTTCTTTTAAATGACATCATATTAACATACCAAATATATCATATTTGGTTCATTTTTTCATTATCTTGATTGTAGGATATTATGTACAATCAAATGCGAGATCAAATTTATCCAAAAAATAAAGAAAAATCGGCGTGGAAGAAGAGGAAACAAAAATACTAGAAATAACACAACGAAGAAAATAATTTGTTTCCACAAAATCCAACTATGTGAATACTATGTTTGGTCTTCAACTGTAAATAAAATGAATAAACACTTTCATATAAAGTAAATTAGTTGAGTTATTTTTATTTTACATGAGAACCATATCGCTTATTATTATTTTTGCATGAGTCGTACACCATAGGAATAAAACATATAACAAGCACTCAGGATCAAGATCACAAAAACTCATAGTGTTTCTTTTGATTTGGTTTGAGAAAATTGGATTTGAGTTTAGATTATATTTGAATTTTAAGTTAAGTTTGGACTTTTATGTTCCTTTAGGTTTATAGATTTGGTTTGGATTTTTAGATTTTAATATTTATTGATCTGATAGTTAATAATTGTATTAATATAAATAAGTAATATAGTAATTTTAAGTTTTTCTTTTAAAAAAAAATAAAATAAAATTTTAATAAATAAAAATTGAATTGTATTTTCTAATTTTTTAATTAAAAATAAATACATTTTGAAAAAAAAAAATGATTTTTATAATTAAAAATATATATATATTTTTAAAATTTGTATTGATTTTTTTATAATTATTTTGTAAATATTTTTTAATAAAAAGCAGAAGTATATGTATACTATGTTCTTCACCCCACCATCATCGTCTTCTTCCCCTTCTCTATTTTTCTTTCTTCTTCTTTTCTGTACAATTTTCTTTTTTGTTTTTTTTTTAATTTTTTTTATTTCCCTTTACTTTATCATATTCTTCCTTTTCCTACTACTTTCATAAATTTCATAAGAGCATGCATCTTTTTTTTTTTTCCCCTTCTTCTCATGTATGTTGGTTTTCTTCCTCCTTCCTTGCCCCGTTAATCATCACTGTTAGTAGAATAAAGTTTCGATTTATTTAATTTTATTTTTACATTGAATCATAAATGGCAACTCCATTAAGGTGTTTTTAATTTTAATATTGATTTATGAATTTTTAGAGGACAAATCTGAAATAAATAATATGAGATCCATTCATTTTAGATCAATTAACTTTTTTTTTTAATTAATAGCCACAATAATTTTTTATTAACTAGATATATATTGCTCATAATTCCTTTTAGTTAAAATAATTATACATATTAATTATGAATAATTAAATAAAATAATTTTATTAAAAATTTGAAAAATAGATAAAAACGAATCATAGCGTGATATCCGTACAATATCCTTTATATGGGCACTTGATCATCGACTCCAACATCGCCCAACCCTGCCTTGTTCTATCATCCAAAAATGATATTGTTGAGTAAGAAAAAATCAATGAATAGGGTTTTATTTGTATAGTCCAATGGGCCTGGTAATGGTAGTAGGGTCTTAAGCGAAGTCGGACGAAGAAGGATGAGACGACCGATAAGGAGATCGGACAAGATAAGGTCGGGCGAAGAATGATGAAACGGCCGATAAGGAGATCGGACAAGATAAGGTCGGACGAAGAAAGATGAGATGGCCGATACGGAGGTCGGTCAAAAGAAGGTCGGGCGAAGAAAGATGAGATGACAGACACAGAGGTCGGACAAAAGGAGGTCGGGCGAAGAAAGATGAGATGACAGATACGGAGGTCGGACAAGAGGAGAGGTCTGTTAATTGGTCGCTTAATTAAGCAACCTGTTAATCGCCTGATCGATTGGCAGGTCATTTGGTCAAACAATAGTTCAGTCGCTTGAAAGGGCGGTCAGTTGATCGCTTGATTGGGCGACCAATGAATCATCTGGACGAACGGTTGTTCAGCCGTTTGAAGGGACTAGATGGTGGTCGCTTGATTGGGCGATCGATGAATCATCTGGACGAATGTTTGTTCAGCCGATTGAAGGGATTGGATGGTGGTCGCTTGATTGGGCGACCAATGAATCATCTGGACGAACGGTTGTTCAGCCGTTTGAAGGGACCGAATGGTGGTCGCTCGAGTGGGCAACTGATTAGTCGTTTGGTCTAGTGACCAGTCAATATATGGATTGGTCGGTTGGTCAATTGTTGGGTTATTCGATAGGTTCAGTCGGTGGATGGTCCAGGCAGTCGGTCGACCTGCAGTCTGTCTAAAGTATGTCGGGCGGTTGAATAGTCGTTCGGGAACAGCCGTCCATTTAACGAGGTAAGGTGCCCTGAGGCGGTCGGTCGAGCCAGTTGGGTTCTGTAACTGGTGGGAGCGGTTGATGAAACAGTTAAAACACGTGTCAATGGAGGAGGAATTAGTGGGCGGTTGACGGCAGTTGCTGTAATCGAACAGACGATGGTTTCTCAGTCGGATGGTGATTTGTGATTCATCTGAAAAGACGTTTAAGGGAAGTTACAACCGGCGAACGGATCGAACAAGTAGAAGACGGGCAAGAGGAGACGTAGCAGCAGGTGTATTGGTCGGATGAAAAGCAGTTCTAAGACGGTTGAGAGAAGTTACAACCGGCGAGCGGATATGAAGGCACGATTTGGTTGTGGCGGTTGACATAGGTTTTAAATAGATCTGTTCATGACCTAAAGAAACCATCTTCAATCGACATCAAATTCAGTGGAATTTCTTATAGGGATCACCATTTTACTTTTACAGTTTGTAGTATTTATTTTTCTTATTTTACTTATGTATCGTACGGTGTCTAGGGATTCTTAAATCTCAGGTATTTTATTTTATCAAATTCGAAGATAATCTCTATTTTCGGATTTTATTTTTTATTGTTGAAAATCTGCATCAACAGATATATATGTACAAAATGTGTATGTATATATATACATATTTTGTATATGTACATAATATATTTTATGAGGTGAGGTAGAACTGAGCA